TTATATATATATATATATATATTACCTTTTTTTTTTTTTTGTAAAAACACATTCTAAGCATAGTTTTACTAACTTTGAGTCAAAATATGCATTTCCTAAATACTTTATACTTGAAAAGTGAACATTAATTTCCTTCCACAAAACTCATTGTTTAAACTTTGGAGGAAAATATTTATACAAGGTGTCAACGTCATACTATACCAATAAGATGCACCACAAAAACCAACCGAAAAAGGTCGTTTTGACAATAAAAAACCCTTCATTCATCATATCAGACATCGAAATGTATGAATATGGAAAACAACGGATATTGAAGCAACATGGTGAGAGTTTGCAGTGAAACTTATTGAAACTCTCGATTATTTTGTACTTTATTGGTTTGAAATTTCATATTTCGTCTTACAAAGAATAAACTAGAAATAAAATGCTCTTATGGTAAACATTCAAAAACAAGAAAAGGACTCTCATAGTGAAATGTAAATGGAAAAAAAGTTTAGATAGAGCCGAGGCTCAAAACAATCAAATTTGAGCACACATCAAAATATTCACTAGAAGAGGTTATTTTGATGCCCAAATATCCTCATATTGATCATCTTGACATCAAGATGCATGGACATTAGAAAAAAAGATTTCAAGTTTTGAAAATAATACATCTTGTAATACATTTAGACTGTCAATTTTCAAGTCTTCATATATCTGCTCGATCTACATTATTTTTAAATTTAAAATTTTATAGTCAGAGATGAAAATGTATTTTAATGCTATCACAAAAATTTCTAGTATTGAAACCACATTTCTCAGCACTATTTGAAAGTGCTCATTACTTTGATTATCTAGAGCCTCGACCCAATGTAAATTAATGTTGTTTTCTTCATTTTCGGTATAAATGGTAAAAATGTCATATCAAGCGTATCTAAAGCACACTCATGGACCACCGGTTATTCAAAAAAGTTGTGCATAGGACCATGAGGACCACATAGTTCACATTGCACGTGCTTCCAAAATTATTATGATAGTGAAGGGAAGTAACCGGGGGAAAGGCAGGAGTTTCACGTAAGGAATTTAGTTTAGTTAGCATGCTTCTATGTGGTGCTTCGCATAGTTATCAACAACAGACAGAACCACCCGATTTCGCATAGTTATCAACAACAGACAGAACCGCCCGATTTGACCTTTGGGCATGATGCTTTGGTTAGTCGGAGAGTTTTTTAGTCAAATTTCAGAGTTCGGCCAGTTGAACCATTCAAAAAAAGACAAAAAATTATTTTTTTCATATATTTTATATTTTCAAGTTTTATTTTTATTTTTTAATATTTTTTAAAAATATGGTCTTACTAGCAGTTTAACCAATTTTGATTTGACCAAATCTATTTGATAGCCAGCCCGATCCCAATAACCATCGTGATTCTTGCCTGAGCGCTAAGTTTTTGTCAAAAAAAGAAAATGTAACCATTCTAATCTAAATACAAGCACTCCGGCATGGTTTAAGATCCCCTTCACATTTGCCCTGCCTAGAGCATACCACAAAACAATAATACTTTAGGTGGGAGGGCAAATAGAGACAAGGAAGAGGTAGTATGTGTTTCAGAATAGAAAAATGGTTTGATAGGGCTGCAACATTATCTAAATAAGTAAAGCTTCACCTCATACCTCATCGGAAATTACAATTCAAGCATTGAAAAATCTCTATATCAATCATCTTGGCTTCAACAATATGGTTGTGAAAAAAAATATGATTTCAAGCTCTAAAAATACTGTATATTGTAACAAATTATCAAGATCGTCTATTTCACCTTAAAAATAAGTGTTCATAGATACGCAAGATCTATATTTTTTTTTTAGTTTTGAGTTTCGAGTTTCATTGTCGGTGTTGAAAATTGATTTTGGAGCCATCTTGAAGATTTCTGTTGCAAAAAGTGCTTTCTAGACGAAGATTTGAGGTGAGAATTTATATTATTTTCATAAAACTTAGGCCCTATAGAAACCTCATCCTTTAGAATATGGTTCAGAGCTTCACTATCCCTAACACCAAGCCAAGGGCCCATTGTAGTTGTGGTCGGCACAATAGGCACTTCATACTTTGTCAGAGTATAGGACTCTAGGTCAAAATGATTAGAGTTGAGAAGTGGATAGCAAAATCACTGAGCAGAGGACTCAGCTAATATGGCAAGAGTTCTATTCTCAGGTTATGAGCCTCTTCATAATTTTTGTAATATAAAAAATATCATGGTGCACAATATAGATAAATTCTAAAGCATAGTTGTAAACACCAGCCGGTACGACCGGTTGGACCGTCAACCACTACTTTGGTTGGATGTCAAAAAAATTGTCAGAACTAATATTTAACTAGTTACACTGATCAACAGGTAATTTTTATCTGTTTAGACCGGCAAATAAAGTGGGACAGTTTTTTTAACATATTTTGTATTTTTAAATTATTTATTCCTTCTTTTTTTTCTTAATATGGGCTTTTAAAAGATTCAATCGATAGTCCAGCCGGTTTTAACTGAATCGGACCCCGGGTCGATGTCCGGTCCAGATAACACTGCCCAAAAGTGCATATACTAGACTGGCTAAACATGCATGATACACGCCACTTTTAAATAGACCGTGTAAAATTGCACCGCTGGCTGTGGTCCCTCTAATTGTGGTTCTAGAGGCTCATGGAACAACTCAATTTTGTTGTCAAAATTAAAAAATAAATAAAAGTGACTTTGATCCATTTTTTGGGTAGAAGAAAGACTTAACTCTGCCTAGATATTGGTCAGTTGTTGGACTGACAGTATAGTACAGGAAAAAAAATAGTATATTTTATAATAAGTTATTTGGATGGTCTATTTTTAGAATGTTCAAATATTTATAGGTCTTTTAGATTTGCACCTCTTTTAAAATTTTAAATTTCATAATTGAGATTAATCATAGATTTTCAAGCCATTATAAGGTTCCGAACACCGCACTACACTTTCTCGGAAAATTTAGAGGTGTCTTACACGTATAATACAAGATGCGCACCTTATACATACCTCACCCAAAGTTTTTTCATGTCGTATGGTCATTTGCCATAGAATAATATGTGCAATAAAAAAAAGAAAGCAACGGTTCACTGCATATTCATTGGGATACAACTACCTTAACCTTAGTGATAATTATCTTCGATAAATGAATTTTATATTTATTTTACCATGCCAAGTACAAATGCCGATAATAAATTTAACAACTACGGTGATGAAATTTGACAGCTAAGGGTTCAAAAAAGGAAAATTGGTCTTTGTGCCCAATGAATAGCATGTATGATTTCACATCTCCAGGACAAAGTTGACGGTGAATTTCTTGTTTCAAAGGTAAACAGCCATGTGTTTTTTTTTTCATGCAATTATCTCACAATAAAAATATCTCACAAATAACATCCCAATCATGACAATGACCAAGAGGCAAAAAAATTTCATCATATTTTAAAAATTTCATTATATTTTAAAGGAAAGTTGCACTTCAAAAACCCATCGAAAAATATTGTTTCGTCACTATAAAATTCTCCATTTGATCATCGGCCTTGATATATATAGATATGAAAGGAAAAAAGAATTTCAAATCTTAAAATTAGTGCATCTTGTAACATATTATTTAAGTCATTTATTTTTAAGATTTTTGAATGCTCATAAATTTGTTCGATTTGCACTATTTTTTAAACTTTCAATTTCATTATAGGGGTGAAAAATAAACTTTTAGGCCATGATAAGAGTTTTAGCACCGAAAATATATTGTTTAACGTTTAATGAAATTTTGAGTTGCACCTTACTGTGATTGTTTAAGGTTGACACCTGTGACCTCCATGTTGCAAAAGTAAATGATCCATCTCTACGGTTCTTTAACGGCTGAAGTTGCTCATTGTATACTTTTAGAAATGGGTTTGAGATATTATTATTTTTTACAAATTTTTTTTAATAAAATTTATAACCCTTATTGTACCAACAACTCAAGGGTACTCAGCCTCACAATTCAGCCGAGTCCGAGTGGACTCAACTGAGTCAAGATACATTGCTTTTACATGCGATGAGATTATATGATCATGTCTTAATACATCCTATGTACATGATTATTTTCATCACTCTTTATCATCATACTTTTTTGTTAACAAAAAAACTTTTTATCACCTCCATTCGAAAGTTTGGTAGCTGTCTCTATCTCTCATAATAATTCATTCACCCACTTTCTCACTCCTAAGCACTATATAAACCCTCCATATCTACTGGAAACCCACAGCTTCCTTTTCCTCTTCCTTTTCCAAAATCCAAGTTATCTTTCATTTAGTTTCAAAGGTTCTGCATTTCAAAATCCATGGTGGAAACTCCAGCAACCAAACACTTTGTTTTGATTCATGGGGCCTGCCATGGTGCTTGGTGCTGGTACAAAATGGCTTCTCTTTTGAAGAGTGCAGGATACAAGGTCTCAGCTGTGGATCTTGGTGGTGCAGGAATAAATATGGGAAATGCTGACTCCATTTCTACTTTCGAAGAGTACAACAGGCCTGCCATTGATATCATCTCAGGGATCCCAGAAAATGAAAAGGTGATATATATCTATATATTATAGTTTTTTTTATTTTGCGCTCTATTTTTTAGTATACATTCAAAATTTCATTATGATCAGATTTTTTAAAAAAAAAATTAAAATTCAGATAGTAATATAAATTTTGAACCATTCAATGAAGATCTGATAGCCGGGAGCTAGTAGCTTATACTATTCATTATAACTAGTAGTTTATACTATTCATTCTAGCTTAAAATTCAGATAGTGATATGTATTTTTATATCTTTTAACACTTTTTAACTTAGCTGTACTCAGTCCAACTCAGGCCAAGTAACTCGACTCAGTCCAAATTACTTGGACCGATCATGGCACAGACCTAGTCCTGTCCCGGTCTTGGTTTTGGAGACAGTTTCATACTGTCCTAAAACATCCTATAATTGCTCTTTCTCTCTCAGTCTTAAATAGATGGAATTATTGATCCATAGGAAGTTTGGTATTTTCAGGTGATATTGGTGGGGCACAGCATAGGTGGTTTCAGCTTAACGCATGCCATTTACAAGTTTGGGAAGAAGAAGATAAGCCTCGTGGTTTACGTTGCTGCTGCCCCTGCCAATTTCCGCGGTGTATGTCTACTTATTTGGTTTTTGTTCTTTGTTTTTTTGGTTGCCAAATGATTTTGTGCTCCAGCGGGTGCATACTCTTCATTTACTCCATGATTAAAAAAAATCTGCTTCTATGTGATCTTTTTCCTAAGGAAAAATTCCATGCGATATTTTTCCTATGCAAAACGTTTTATGTAAGGTTACAACCTTATAATATAGAAGTATGGTGCACCTCAAAAACCCATATGAAAATTTTGTTTGAAAGCTTCAAAACACTACTATTGATTATCTTGACCTCAATATATATGAATATAAAAGAAAGAATGGATTTTGGATCCTAAAAATAGTGTATCTTATAACACATTATCTAGACAGTCAATTTTTATTATTTTTGGGTGTTTTTAGATTTACTTGATCTGCTCCATTTTATAACTTGAAACTCTATGATTAGGTTGGAAATAGATTTTTAGCTCATTAAAGTGTTCGATACCGAAACAACATCTTTTGACACAATTTTAAGGTGTGCCTTACTTTGATTGCTTAGAGTTGACATCGTATATAAAGAAAAGAAATATATATAATAAAACCATTTAAATTTTGTATAAGGACATAAAAATCATCCTGGCTGTTAGAAGTGATATCGAAAGCTGAGGTGTCACTGATTCAGCTTAAAGTTCCAAAACAATTTTTCAAACTTTGTGACATACTCTAATCTATCTGATTTGACATTTGATAGTTGGGATTAGTTATGACCTCCTTATTCCAAAAATAAATTGTCTATAGTATACAATCCCTTATACGAACCTCACCCTTTAGTTATCATTTAACATGATCTTCCATTTTTTCAGTTTTTGTTATGTAACAATTTACTATTTTATATTTATTTTAAAAAAATGTTGGTTGAATTTGAAAACTCAAATTCATTCATTGAATCAGTAAGCTATTGAATCGGATTCAATTTGATTGTACCAACTAAGCGAGAAGATGTGTAGCAAGTGGAGTTGACCTCACGAGCCCTTTGTCTCACTACGTGCTTACGCACTTCACTCGCTTTTGGGAGTTACATTCGTAACTTTTTGTTGTGTTCACACGATGATATTATCTCTTGAAAATGTTATGCTTTGCCACCTGAGTACACAATTCATTTCTTAAAAATAGAGGAGACCAGTCCTACTACTGAGTACATGGATCATTGTTCACAAAATCGGCCGATCTAACCCCTAACCCTCGGTTAGATCAGAACCGACCAGTGGCCGGTTCTGGTATTGGGCGGTTAAGGTGATCAACCGGTATTTAAAAAAATATATATATAAATTCTGAAAAATAAGAAATTTGATTTGTAATGTATTTTTAAATATTCTTTACATTATGGTAACGATTAAAAATTGTTTTGATCATTAATACTCACTTTTATATCTTCCCATCTTTTTTAAAAAAATTTAAAAAATAGCCATTGGAAAATATAAACTGGGTTAAAATCCCTTTTTTCCATTAATTTTCAACTTCATTTGAATGTGTTTTGTTTTAATCATTCTTTATATGCTTTACATATTTTTGATGATTTTTTTGGTTTTTTTTTTTTTCAATACTTTTTGACCGCCCTGAACTTACCCGGTTAGAGCGATTGAATTAGCCGATTAAACCGCTTTCAGGACCAATTCCGATTAACCGTTCTGGTTCAATTTTGCGAACACTGACATGAATAATGGAAAGGGGTTCTCAACCTTCTAATGATAGTAGGCCAGGAGTACAGGGAATTAAAGCGTGTTGATGTATGGGAAATTTATTAAAATACCTTCAAGAGATGAAGTATTTAACCTTTTGCCCAATTGAAACCATTCTAATTCAAATATTATTTGCTTTTTAATGGGTATTTCAAAATTAAATAGAAAATCATGGTTAAAGTGTTAATGATTGTTAACGCTTTGCGGGTAATTTAATAAATTTATTTTTTAATTTTTCCCTCGACAGTCTGGGCCGGGCTTTAACCCAGATATCTACATCTACAATTTCGGAAATGGGAGTCATCAGCCTCCTACAAGTCTTATTTTTCGCCCTGAGAAGCAGCGAGAAATGCTTTACGCACTTAGTTCATATGAGGTAAGCCCTTCAAAGACACACTCTTTTCTATTTTTCTATTTATTTGAAAGTTAAATCTAAGAACTCTTTTCTATTTTTCTATTTATTTAAGGGTGTGGTTTTCATAAGGTTGCAATTTTTAAACAATCCATTTATAGTGCACCTTCAAATTTTATCATAACATATAATTTTGATGTAAAATATTTTTAAGGTTATCTCAAAATCTATTTTCGTATCTAATTATAAAATGTTAAACTCCAAAAATGATTAAAATCAAGTAGATCTATAAATATATGAAAATCTTGAAAATAGACAATCTAGATAATGTGTTGTAAGATGCACCATTTTTGGGACTCAAAATCTTTTTTTTTCCATAGTATTCATTTCGATGTCGATTTCCAATATTAAAAGGACTTTTTCCGATGGATTTTTTAGGTGCGTCATAATTTTACATTTTAAAGCTGCAACCTGATATAAACTTTTCCCTTTATTTAAAGGCTAAATCCAATAACTTTTTGATAAGTTTTATATAAACTTTTCCCTTTATTTAAAGGCTAAATCCAATAACTTTTTGATAATTTTTCTTGTTGGGTAGTTCAGATTCGAAGATGAGAGGTCCAAGCCTAATGCATGGTATATTTGTTATAGTTAAGAGGGAAATTATCACAAATGTCCCTTTTTCTTTTAAGCTATTCGGGAAAAAAAAAAAACTATAAGGAAATTGATGTGTGGTTGACAGGACTCAACCTTGGCTTCAATGGTGATGAGGTGGGCGCCAGTGAGTGCCTTCGCTGATGCATCACTTGACAAGGAAATTGAAAGGGTGACTACTCTTTATGTGAAGACCGACAAGGATCAAATGATGAGTCAAGAGCGCCATGAAGAGTTCATTCATTTCCTCTCTCCAGAGGAGGTGTTAGAAGTGGAGGCTGACCATAGTCCCTTTTTCTCTGCAACCGTTGAGTTGTTCAGCTTCTTGGACAAGGCTGCCGCTAAATACTGTAGCGATGAACTGCCCAAAAAGTAGATCATTTGTTCCTTACAATGAAGTGAAATATATATATATATATATGGTCATTACTCTACTTGGTTTTATTTGTATTATTTGTGCTGCAGCTTACGTTTTATGTGTGTTTGGGACCCAACTGCCTAGATGGCTGGATTTCTTTTCATGAATGTGCTAGGATTCCATGGCTAGTAATAATAGAGGATGATTAACCATTGGTGTTGAAAATTTTACCTCACCAAATCACCCACATATCAAACTGATATGCTGAGGGTGTAGCGTTTTATTTTATTTTTATTTTTATTTTATTTTATTGGTAATTCAGTCGGGGAGATAGACCCCTATTTGTTTTTTCAATAAATTAAGGAGTTAGCTTTTTTTGAAGGTGGTATCAGCAGGATTCCAAAACCACAACGTGGTAACTAAGTAAGAGGGTGCTACCGCCACGACTCAGCCCCTTTTCGAACCAGGGTGTGGTTGATCTGTGGGTCCAAATTGTACATTTGGATCATTGGCCAAAATAGCAAGTAGGGTTGGCAATTTGGTTTGGTTAAACTACGGATCTAGTAAGCCCAGCTAAGATATAACAAAAAAATGTCTAATTTTTATGTGTTTAGAAACACAAAGTTCAAATTTTATTTTTCAAAGATACTTATCGTGATCGTGATACATATCCCAAATTTAGCGGTGGCAATGGACCCGACTAGACCTGAAACTCAACGGGTAGACTTGACCACTTGTCTAGGTATGGGTCTAAATTTTGGACCTAAAAGGTTAGATCCGAGTCCAAAACTTGAACCCAATTACTATTTGGGTCCAGGTCCAGCCGGACCCGACTCGGATCGGACCTATATATGGGTCTTCATAAATGTTTTCACTACATTTGTTTATTAGGAATTTATACCACTTTTAAGTAGACCGTGTAAGTGCACCAACGGCTGTGGTCCCTCAATATGTGGTCGTAGAGGCTCATCCAATAACTCAATTTTGTTGTCAAAATTCAAAAAATAAATAAAAGTGCACTATGAAAGCGATTTTGATCCATTTTATGGGTAGAGGAATGATTTGCCTCTGCCCATGGGAAAGCTTTCTATGTTCCCTATACAACATAGAAGTTCTATCCTTCCCCTTATCCAACCGTCCTTTTTTAATGGAGAGTTAAGATTGCCTCAATCACA